GCAATGTTATTGTACATATAATCACTCTTGTCTGTGTTTTTATACAAGGCCACTGTATAGTGCTGTAATTATGTCATAACAGGTATATATAGCAGTAAAATGAAAGCCTTTGAGTGTCAAATTGTTGGTCATCATTTCTAAGTATTTTTCTATGATTTCTTCATTAAAAAAACATGGTCAAATTTTGGTTTATTTTGAGAAAGGCCTAAGTTGTCTTTGGTATTAAATGCTGTTAATTATTGGTACTCTACTGATGAATGTCTGTCAACCGCTAGATTATTGCACGATTTGCAATAAAATATGGTTCCTTGAAATTGCTTGATTTGAATATTTATTGAATTAGAATTTGTTAAATTTATAAAACCCCTTGATTGTCTCAAAGCACTTAATATTGGGTATCAGTTAACGCATTGCCTCATGACTCCATTTTTTCCCCATTCATTTTGACTATCAGCTGGAGGCTTATAGCACGCTTCTCTGCTTTTGTTGCTGGCTTTTTTGAAAATAATGTCGGACACAATAGACTGAATATAGTGTTCAATATAGGGTACGAAACTGGAAATAAGACATTGTGGAGAAAAATTAACTGATGAAATACAAGGTTTGTGAAAACACAAAATGAAATAAAACTGAAATGAAAAGCATAATCAATTAGTGGCAGTTTAATTTAGTTTGCTTACTCCCACTGGGAATTGAGCACAATAGCTGTATTCAATGTAAAATAGTTAATCATTTTAATTTAATGGCTGGGTAGAGGAAGGATGTTTGTAATTGCTTTGGTGGCTTTATATAGCTGAGTGGCAAACATCTGTGAGGAAATCAAATAGGCTAGGTGTCTACTAAGCACAGGAAAAGTATTCAGAGTAGCTTGTACAGGAAGTCCTATATTTTGGTGTTTACTAAATACAATTTTAATTCTGAATACTGGAAAATTGGAAAACTAGGTATATGGAGAAGGTTATTTCATGAAGGCAATCCTCTATTCCTACACATATGTGTATTATACTACGTGTATTGTAGTGACAAAAAAATATGAAGTGTTAAAATTGTACATTTATCTGAGCCACAATTATACCTGAAAGAAAAATTTTGAACTTGGCTGTAACATTATAAAAATGTGCATCTAAATAAGTTATAAATAAATTTACAAATCTTACAAATGAGAGTTGTGTATGTTCAATTAATTCTATTGTTCTGTCTAGGAAATTTATAATGTAATTAAAATTAATTTATTTTCATTAATGTCTCTCATAATTTAGATTAAAGATTTGAAGACATAATACAGTGATTCTTTAATCTCAAACTAAAATTTGTGTGGTACTCTGTTGGCCGCAGACTTTTTATCCTCTCAAATATCTCAATAAAAGTATAATTTACAAAGCATGACTGATATATTATATTATAATACATTTCATAATACACTGTTAAATATATACAAATGAAAGACACAAACTTTATGAACAATTTAACAGAATATACAATAATTTCTCAATACAGAATTACATAGACAAATTCAAAATGATTTTAAACATGACAGAGCCATCTCTGCTTAGACATGTTATCAGATACTTAAACAATGCTTTTACTAAAAGACTACCGTTAAAGTCCTAATATAAACCGCATACGTAATAGTAACCGCACCCCCAATTCCGGCTTCGGGGTTAAAGAGTTCTTAACAAAAATTGAAAACTTGAAAAGTACCTATTACTAACCGCACCCCCAATTCAACAAGACCGTGACTGACTTCATTGTTTCAACCAGCTGTTCCAAAACGGCATTGTTCTTAATCCAATTCATTTGTTTCGACAACATGCCTAACTAACTAGTAGTTAAGTTGGTGTTTATATACACTATATCAAAAAAAAAAAAAACTTTATTATTTACAAACCAAAAAAGAATTGTAACTTCTTTACGGTTATAATAAAGGTTATTATTATTATTAATAATAAAAAATTGACATTGACAATAAAAATGTTATTTATGTACTGTTTCAACAAACAAAAGAATATCAGACATAACCCTTATTTGTATTATGGCTCATTTGCTCTGCATTTTTAATGTCCTTTCCAGCAATACGAGGTGTTTTGATGAGATGAATCAACCCTTGAAATAAGTTGAAAACAGGGTACAATTCACATAGAACATAAAATGTATCAACCCTCAAAGATGTTTTGTATTTGTGATTTGGCTGTATGAATCAGTTTAAAACATAAATATGTACATTAGTTTCCACTTGCTTATCTTGCTAGATTATAGTTTATTATACCCACTGTTCAAGAGCTAATGCCAATCCAGCATAGTAATTATTTTCCTCGGTGTACAAGTATAATAATTCTTCTCAAAATAAAGTTTTGAAACAAGAATTTTTTTTACATAAATTTACACGTTTTTGTAGTTTTATCCTTAACTTTCACTTCTCAGTTATGTAGTTACAGAATTATTACAGAGTGATCTTCATAAGATTATAGTGTCTCCCCAGCCACTGAGTGCAGACCATGTCAAAGTCTTCCTCTATCAAATATTACGAGGTAAGTAAACAATATGTTATCATATACGGTACTGCTGTCTTGTATTCATGTCACTATCCTATGTTATCATGGCAAATTTTAATGCATGTGAGGTGTTGAAGCAGTCATTGCTCTTTCCAAATTACTCACATGCCGCATGATGCTTGAAGATGTTTTTATGACAATTTGGATATTGTCTATTTTGAAGGACAGTGGCTATTTTGAACATGACGGTGGCTATTTTGAACATGACTGTGGCTATTTTGAACATGACGGTGGCTATTTTGAACATGACGGTGGCTATTTTGAACATGACGGTGGCTATTTGAACATGACGGTGGCTATTTGTAACATGACGGTGGCTATTTGTAACATGACGGTGGCTATTTGTAACATGACGGTGGCTATTTGTAACATGACGGTGGCCTATTTGTAACATGACGGTGGCTATTTGTAACATGACGGTGGCTATTTGTAACATGACGGTGGCTATTTGTAACATGACGGTGGCTATTTGTAACATGACGGTGGCTATTTGTAACATGACGGTGGCTATTTTGGACATGACTGTGGCTATTTTGGACATGACTGTGGCTATTTTGGACATGACGGTGGCTATTTTGGACATGACGGTGGCTATTTTGGACATGACGTGGCTATTTTGGACATGACGGTGGCTATTTCGAACATGGCGGTGGCTAATTTGGATACGACTATTGCCAATTTGGATATTACTGTTGCCAATTTGGATATTACTGTTGCCAATTTGGATATTACTGTTGCCATTTGGATATTACAGTTGCTAATTTGGATATTACGAAGCCTAATTTACCTATGATGGTAGATGATATAATATCAATATCTTGTATGGCTTTTTGTGAAGTCCAACTGTTCTTAAGAGACTCCGGGTTGATAATCTTACATTCTCTCTGCTGTAATATATTCTGATTGCTTTATTGATATTGTGTAAAAGGTCACCTATCACACAGCTCCACCAGCATTGTGTATCTCTCATGTCATGTATCTTTAAATATCTATTTTGTTAATGCTGGTATAGGTTTTTTTATTCTGAATGATTTTTATAGTCATAAACATGTCTATTTTAGAAACTAATTAGTTCATTGATAAAATTGCAAATAGTGAAAATTATCAATAAATACAAAAGTGAGCTTTTGCCGCCCCCCCCCCCCCCAGATTAATTTCCACTTAAAAATGAATTGGATGTGAAGTTTTTCCCCCATAATTTACTACCACTATTTTACTATCTAATGTGTATTCACTCATACCATGTTGTTCTATAAAACAGTAGTGAATTGTCTTAAATATGATATAGCGGATGAGTTATTGGTTTGGTATGCATATTTAGTCATAGACTCGCCCAGTAATCCCAGCTGACTCCTTTGTCCTCCCCAACTTTTACAATATCTTATTCTTTAATCTTTAATCATTTACATGTAGCGCACTTTAATTTGCAGAAATTTCCTTCAAATTTATTGACTAGGAGAGATTGAACTTAAATTGAAAAATTGTATTTTCCTGGAAAGTTGAAATTTACTTAGAATTTATCTTCGCTGTTTTTAGGGATGAATCAATGAAAATAAAAAAAACTAGTGAGTCCCATTTTTCGCCTATTTTACATTCAACTCATCAATTATCAGTGAAAATAAACTTGATACAAAACAGGCAATACCTAAGATTTAAGTAGGAAAGTCACATAGGGAAATAGTGTATGTATCCAGTACTTTTATTCATATATATGTACATTCTTCCAGAAGGGTTTCTTTACTTGAGTGCCTAGGTGATGCAATTGATGCAAGAATGGATAGTTTCACATCATTTGTATTGAGTGCATACAACTACAGTTTCCTGAAAGACGTATTAACTGAAAGCTGCTTAGTTTCCTCAAACTAAACTTTAAAGATTTGTATGCACCAACTGTAATAATTTACCTCTATATTCCCTGTTCAAATTGCGGTAAATTTGATAACTTTTTCTGTAATTTTCACTGAATCGTAATTTTAGATAAAAAAGAAAATTTTACATTGCTTTTAGTTTTTATTCAAAATTTGAAATTTTCACAACATTTTATGTGGAAAAGAGCGGATTTTAAATGAAACTATTTGATAAGTGTTGCCTGAATTGACTTTGGATTGAAAGGTTTAATTTATGGTTATACTTTTTCATAATTTAATTCCTTGCAAAAATGTGCTATATAGTTTGAATTGTAATTCAACCATATTCGTCCTTCAATTTTGTTTCTTTTAATCTCATGTCTCTGACAGTCTTATTTTTCCAGGGTCTTGGCTCTGAGGTCAAGAAGAGCTAAGGTACATGTACATCTGTGGAATGAATATTAAATTGAAAATCATAATGGATGGGTATGGCCAGGGAAATGTAGGGTACATTAATTATGATTACATTACCATAGTTGCTTACATTAAAACATACCCCGGTAGTATATTTTTTTATATTATATACTACTGTTTACAAAATTTAGACAAATACATATGGCCACTAAAGTAATTTCTTTGCACAAAAAATAGGTAAAAAAATCTTTAGATAGTTTGATTTGAGAAATTGACTATTGGACCATTTTGATCTGATCATACGATTATCATACCTCAACATTTCGTTTGGAGATGTACAGCAAAAAAAAGTTATAAGATAGATACTTGTGGTTCACTGTTATGAATTAGAAGCATTTGTGGTACTTAGTATTTTATAAAATAGTGCTTTAATCACAAGTTTCTTGCCTATTTTTTAGAAAAAATACTCTATTCTGAGTAAGAATACAAATGCTGATTATCTAAATAAATATTAAATTAAATTCATATTCCTTATTTCATAGGTCATACGAATTATTATGGAGTGAAAAAAATTGGCAGAACATTTTTTTATTTTATTTTTTGTTGGAAACTTAAACAACTCTCAGAAATCAGAATATGTACCGATATATGTTAAATTCCCCCCAAAAATGAACTTGACCAGCCTTTTTAGTTATTTTCTCTATAATACGGTAATGATCAAATTAAAATATGTTTTGAATTGTATTTTTAATTTTTTTTTCTATCTTCCCTATAACCTCATAATACATGAATGACACTACAAGGTCAGCTCCAAGTTGACATGTGGTATATTCTTCTTTGATGGCTTTGTGCTTTCAAATGCTTGTATTTTTATTACCTGTACATTGAAAGGTCATTGATGTCAGGTTCACTGTGGCAATAAAATCCTTGTATGTTTTCAGGTTTTAGTTTTTCCCCAATAAAAGATTTACGTGTAGTCTAATACTGTGGAATACTTTATTTTCGCTGGAATTAATTTTCGCTAAAAAGGCTTTTTGGGCGTTTTGTTTGGAACTTATTTTCACTGAGTTTAATGTGAAATATAGCAAAAAAAGTATATTCACTGGATTTTATTTTCAAGGAATCATCCCTTCAGCGAAAATAGCGAAAATAAATTCCAAGCGAAAATAAAGTATTCTACAGTAAATGTTTTTTTCAATTTAAGTATGAAAGATCCCATAATTATAAGAAAAAAAATTATTCAATCAAATCTGTATATTGTCCATTATTTTTAAATTTATGAATTATACTTATGCCATTACTTTATATTCACTGTACAAGTTTGGTGGCACACTGAAAACAGGTGTTAGAAGGAAAAAGGTCTTTTTGCACTAAATATTTTACCATTATTACCCAAAATACAACTGCCCTTGATTGTCAATAATGGGCTTGAAATCACTATGGAAACAAGTCTGCTCTTTTCATGATTGGACCAAATATGACTTGTTTACGTTAAAATTTGCATAAAATACTGCATCATATTGCTTATATGGATATTTTGCAGGAAAAAATCTGTCTTTACATTTTATTTTAATCAACTATCCAAATTGATCATTCTGATTTTGATTTAGGAGATTGTTGCCTAGTAGGTCCTACTTCATTTGAAAAAGCTAATTAGAGCACTGTTTTCTGACAAGTATGATTATTAAACGGAATCTTATTAATATCCTTTTTTTTCCTGTTGTCATTGATAAATGATACTTTTATTAATCTATCTATTCGACATGATGATTATGAATGAATGTCTCCTGTAAGTTCTAGCTTTACAAATTGTTTTTGTCTTGAAATGAAATAACATAAAAATGAACAATATTGCAGTTTCTGTTCTGTGGATAAATCAGCATTTCATACTGTTCTGTTTTTACATTCTTTGTTTCTTTTTCATTAAAAAAACATTCTGAACACTTTGGTTGAAATTTGCGAATCTACAGAAATAGTGAAAGTGGTGGTCTTTAGCTTGTTCTCACAGTAAATTTCATAATAATGGTTGACGAAAAAAAAAATTAACTGTTTGCAATATACATGTACTGGTGACAAAAATTATGTAAACATTTTTTAGCAGAATAAAAGATTTTAAAATTTAACTGTATTTATAAAATATTAACCTGTGTACCCCCGGTAATTCTTTTTTATTTTTCAAAAAAAAAAAAAAATTATTAGGACCAGCAGTTATATCCATTTGGTCCAAAATTATTGAAGAAATGATTACAAAAATACAGAAATTTTGGAGGTAAAAAATATGGCGTCGAAGGTTTAAACTTGCCTAAGAAACAATATTCTATATTTTGCAGTCTCATTTTTGAGTTAAATTGAATTCAATATATTTATCAGTACATATTAATGTTGTGTCTTCACTATATCTATATAATCTAAAGATAGGCAAGCGGCATGTCCTTGGCATCCACAACAAAAACGATTTTGCCGTTTTTTTTCGTTTCTAGGTTAAAATCAGCCTGATTTCATTAACAGAATTCAGGCACATGCCTAAGGCATAATTTTGTTTTCTCACTTTAAACATTGAGTAGTTTTAGTATATGCATATCTTTGAGCTCAGATAATGTTTTGGTGTTGAAAATGCAGATTTTATATTTATAATAATTATACTGAGGATTTCAGAATCTGTAGAAGCTTACTTACTTAGCTACAATATTAAGGTTAACTAGCTGTGAATTGCCCACAGACACATTTGTTTTTGATTTCTGTTGCCCAGAAATGGACATTTGAAAATAAAATAATAACTTAATAAATAAAATTATAAAGATTCTAAGTAACAGCCTATTGTAGTTGACAGTTTCCAGCTTCTCCCAAAGTGAAACTACGCCACCAAATGTCAGACAAAGGGAGGAAGCCGCATAAGAGGCTTGTACTGATTACCGTAATAACTCATAGTAAAACTGATTTAAATAAAAATCATGCTTTTATTATTTGGAAATTAACAGAATATTTTAAAATAAATTGAATTTGAAATAAATTTCTGTCATTTCACTACTGATTGGATTTTTTTAAATCTAGTACAAAAACATATTGTCTAGCAATGGCAACACGCAAATTGAATTTAAGGTCATTTGCGGGTGTTTTAACCTATTAACTATATAATAACTATGGTGAAAATTCTCTCACAAAATTTAGTTTTAAAAGTGCTCATTTAATTAAAAATTTGGATATGTGCCATAGCCTTTTGAGTATTTTGAGTACCCGGTACACATCATGGTTTCTGGGAAAATCGTTTGTTGGAATGTCATGTAGTTTTGTGCAAAAGAACACAATATAAAACCATAGTGTTAAAAATCCTGGAAATCTGAATATCTGTTTTAATACAACGAACAACCTGAAAAAAAAGTTTATGCTCAGTGATGCCTCTAAACAATTATCTAACAAGAAAGCTAATTTGATACAATAAGCTTGTGATACGATACCAGATGTGATGAATGGTTGAGTGGATTGACCAATGAAATGCGTGTTCTTGTATCCGGTTCTAGAATTGTCCATGTCTATGTTGTGTAGTAAATGCCCTCTGGTGCCTTAACCAAGGTCTACTTGTATGCAAATCAGGAGCCTCACTGTGAAATGCAATAGTGAAATGACTAGTTGTGCTCAGATATATTCATATACCAATAAGTGATTTTGGACATCAGGGTAGCAGTGTTTCACAAACACTTGAGTGCAACTGATAATTGGAAAACATGCGAAACAATTATTTTGTTACATTTATGTTACCCAGAAATAATTGAATACAAATAAATACCGGTACTGAAAATATAACTGCCTGTTATTTTGTTGAAGAATTTAATGTACCGTATTTGCTCCATTGCAATGTGCATGTTAATAGGCGTGTTCAGTGGTCATAATATACCCAGTAATAAGTTAAATGATTTGTTTGTCTTCTATGTGTTTAATGGAGCACATGTATGATATACAATGCAGGGCATAAAGCTGTGGACATTATAAACATAAATTTTTATATATCAAAATTGAATGTTACAATTAAAATTGTGACATCATAGATAGTTCAATATCCAATCAGCGATTACCGCATCTCATTTTGAATATGTGGGCGATCATGGTTGCTATGTCAAGTTTAGGTATGTGTGCGCAGTAGGGGTATAGACCATCTTGGGCCAATCACAATTAAATATTTGAATAAAAGTTGCTCATCTGTATTTACAAATATTAATAAACACATTTATAAACTTACAGTACAGCTTTATGCCCTTCACTGTATTAAAGGTGCATTATGTTCTAGCCTTCCAACAGAACAAAATAGTGTGAGTGTACTAAAATGTTGCCAAAATAAACATTTTGGACTTGTAGCTGTACATGTGGTAGTTTGCTTTCCCCTCTTTTTGTTGACTTGCTTACTTAGGTCTGCCTGTCACACTAGTCTGTCTGCTGCCCTTTAATCGGGACTTGTAGCAGTTAGACGATCAAAAGACATGCTATAGCAATTGGATACGCGCGGGGTCTACAGGAAACGAAATGTTGACCTGATAGATTGTACGCAATTCAACAAACTCCCTCGTTTATTTATTTATGAGGAGTCTTTAGAAGACTTCGTTTTACCACATAATGGTGTATCTATGATTAATGGATATCTAGCACCGAAAACAATAGACAAGGGTAGTACAGGTCGTGATGATGTACCGTACTGCCTTCGTGCATACTTTGTGGTATTCTTGTAATAATGTACCGTAGTATTGGTGTTTTATTTATTCAAGTTCAAGTGCAGAATACTAACATTGTAACTTGAATAAAAAAAAAATGGTTGTTGATGATCTTAAGATGTCATTTCAAAGTTGTAGTAGTTGTACATCTCATCAGTTATTTCTATTCACTTACAGGCTTGAAGTATCTGCACTCAGCAAATATCCTCCATCGAGATATCAAACCAGGAAATCTTCTTGTCAACAGTAACTGTGTACTTAAAGTGAGTAATCAAAACATAGTGAAGTGCTCTATCTATTGTTGTAACATACGATTTTATCATTGTTTTGTTTTCAGCAATTTTTATTAATAAAATGTAATTATTATGGTTACTGTAAATGCATTAATTATTCACTGGATTTTAATTTTGGCTGATAAAAAAAATCTGCTAAATTAAATCTACGTGAAAATTAAAACACAGTGAATATGCTCAAAAAATCAAAATAGTGAAAATAAATTGTTTTGCAGTATAACCATTGTTTTCTGTAAATATTCTTTTGTCCTAATATCAAAAACGGTAAAACAATATACCTTCTTGCTTTAAAAGATGGCGAGGTAGTTGGCTATTCAAACTTTCTAGTGAATCATTATCTAGATTCTTAATACTAATAAATGAGTCATTTTCTCGCCCAGCATGAAACTTTGTTTAATGTAATTGTCAAAGTTATCTCACTGACCCCAATATCAACAGGTCAGTCTTCTCAACTTTTCCATATGTTGCTGTATTATTTTATCTCTGATATGTGCTTCTATCATAGGGTGTGATCATTTTTTGTATGTTTTTATATTATGTCAGTTATTTGCCCATGACACCCTAGACTAATGAGTCTACACTGCAATAGACGTGTCTCAAAATCATCTCCGCTTCTGTTTTAGATTTGTGATTTTGGTTTAGCCAGAGTGATTGAACCTGATGAAAATAGACATATGACATTGGAGGTTGTTACACAGTACTATCGAGCACCTGAAATCTTAACGGGAGCAAAACATTACAGCTATGGGGTTGATGTGTGGTCAGTCGGGTGTATATTTGCTGAACTGTTGGGAAGGCGAATATTGTTCCAAGCACAGAGTCCCGTAGCACAAGTAAGTCTGAAACTGTTATAGCTTTGCAGAGTATTTATCATGTGCATAAAATATTTTAAACATGTATTGGACTTTTTCTGATTTTTGATTGTGGTATTTCTGAAACTCAGTTTTCTGAAGTTGAATTTTAAAAAATCTTCAAATATTTATCTTGCATGTAAGTGTGTATCAGTGTGAATTGTGCCAGAAATAAAAAAAAAAAAAAAAAAAAAAATTGTGTAAAAATTTAAATGAACACTCACAAAAACTTGTTTGCATTGTTTTTGGTAAAATTGACAACTTTTTTTCCTCGACATATATTCAATTAAATTTTTTTTCTGAAGGAAGTGATGCATCATGGGATTGTCACGGTTCAAGAAGTGATGGCATCACATACAATTTTTTTTTTATTATATCCTTGCATTGCAATTATATGTGTACAAACTTAAACCACTGCAGTGTTTCAACAGTGTGTAAACTACCAATTACTGTACACTATGACTATCAATTAGTGGCATTTCCTGACCATGTCTAGACTTGAGACATTCCATACAAGTGACTGTCTTCATGTATATTATTCTTAACCTCAAACACTTACAATGTGTGTAAGGTAAATTATAGCCATGTACACGAGAGAAATGACTGTGAATGAGGCGTGTCTCAATCCAGGGAGTATGATAAATATATGATAAATGATGCATTTCTTTTCAAAACAAAGAAAACAGACCTGTATTATAATCCATATAATTTAAATTTTAGTTGTAGTAAATTTCAATATTTACAATATTTAAGATGCAATAAAATTATTTGTTAGCATATTGTTATATATAATGTAACATCAGTGATGTTTAGGATATGTTTTAAAGTATGTGCCAAGATATTTTTGGGGGCTAAATAAAGGATGCCTGCTGTATTTCAGCAATAATGTGATGTCACTGACCATATACAGTAATCACTAGTGATCTGTGAGTGTACTTGGTCTATAGGGAAGAGGGAATTCTGTAACCGAAACCTAAACATTGAAATTAGCATTACAATCATGTTCAGACAGCATTGTAATTATCCTTTTTTTGCAGTTGGATCTTATCACAGACCTGTTGGGAACTCCAAACATGGAAGATTTAAAACATGCCTGTGAGGGCGCTAAAGCACATATACTCAGGGGAGCCCAGAAGCCACCAACATTAGCAGCACTCTATAACCTATCAAACCAAGCTACTCATGAAGCTGTACATTTACTATGCAGAATGCTTGTCTTCAATCCTGTAAGTGTTCACACTGTGGGCAGGATCTAAACCTTGACCACATATTCTTTAATTGTTGTAATGTTGCATTGGGTCTTAAAATAGCTGCACATGAAAACCACTATTTTTGTTTCCATTTTACATAATATTGAAATCTTTTGAGGAATTTTCCTGTGATGCAAAAGAAAGTGTAGTTTGTGATTTTTTTTTTTTATGCATATATTATTCAATACTTAGTTTTGACTGGTATTTAATTTCACTATTTTAATATTTTGAGCATATTTGATGGTTTTAAGTTAAAAAATTTGCCTGTGGAACTATGAGATTTATTGTTATTTCAAATGTTCGCTTAAGATTTTACGTATCAACGAAAAGAGCAAATTAAAACCCAGTGAATAATTAATGCATTTACATGTGCATAACATACAGTTCATGATTAATATTGAATGAGATTTACTGTGTTTGTTTAGTTAAATAAATAAATGCAGAGTATAACGAATAGATTTATCATTTGTATTCATTATTAATGTACATAAATAAAGTTTGTGAAAAATGTCATTCAGAAAATGTATTTTGTAAAGTTAATTTTTTTGTTTGAACATCACAATTGTTTAAAGGCTGTCATTTCAATAAAACAAAGAATCCTACGAAAACAACTTTATAGAGTATTAGTTAGCATGCGACAATGTATGCATGAATGCAGACTAACTTTAAATTTGTTGTGTATTTAGGATAAGAGAATCAAGTGCATAGATGCCTTGGCGCATCCCTACTTAGATGAAGGAAGACTTCGATATCATACATGTATGTGTCGATGTTGTCATAATACGTCATCAGGAAGACAATATACATCAGACTTTGAACCAATTGCTCCAGTGCCATTTGACTCAAATTTTGAAGACCATCTCACAACTGCTCATCAAGTCAAAGGTACGTTTCAATTATATTGTACTTTTTTGATATCTCATACTATTGGCATCACTGTTTTTAAAAAGTAACTGTTTGCTTGTTCACTTCTGAGATGCATATTCAAAATTTTCCAACCAACTGAAAATGATACTTTGTAAACTTCTACATAAAAATGAGGCTGTCCCTTATAATAAGTATCATGTACTAAACCATGACTGTAAACTTTGTTGCTATCATTATAATAATTCAGTCAAACCTAAAAATATGATTTATTTTACTCCCCCCAAACAAAAATGTTTACTAATATACTTAATCAGAGTTGTCTATTGTAAATAAACATTAAATAAAATCCTTGTATTTGTAAGAATAAAGCACTACCACGTTTGTTTCACTGGATGCATACCTGAAGTAAAAGTGCATATTGTGTGCCAGAAATGTTTATTTCAAGAATTAATCACTTATTACACCACTCCCATATTTTCTCCATCTATAGATCGTCTTCATACATTTATAACAGACAGACACCATGGTAACAGTGTACCATTATGCATCAACCCTCATTCGGCTGCCTTCAAGAGTTTTGCCAGGTAAGGATGGTTAAAATATGAAATGAACATTATGAAAAAACTTTCCTGTTTAGTTATAGACATAATGATCAGGTTATGTTTTCTGTAAATCTGATTGTGGCAGTTGAATTCCTAAAATTCAATATGTCATCCACCTGATTATGAATGTTCATTGCGACAACAATTTCTGACAATTTTGTTTTCTTATACTGCCTTGTAGACAATTTTAATTTATTATATTTTATTATCCCGTTTGCAGCTCATCTGTTGCTAGTGCTTCAGAATTACCTCCATCACCTCAACCATGGGAGTAAGTTACTATGGAGACCAACTCTTTTTCTACCACTCAAGGTGCTGGACTAAATGAACACATGTAACAGTGCAAGTTGTTTGACATTTCATCTTATTTATTTGGAGAGAAACAGGGATAGTATATTTTACAACCAGAAATTAAAAATGAAGAAAAAATAACTGCCAACAAGTCTTGGACTTGTCAACGCTTTATAATACAATTTTTTTGTAAATAATTGAAACTGAAATAAGTGGTGTGCCGTATCTGGTTATCCAAAGATTGGAAACTGAGATTCATATCGAGGCTTGTGCATAACTTACCAATTGTAGAAGCAATCACTAGCGACAATCTGACCTGAACTGATGGCAATCAACGTAGTATTGTGGTTCTCCTGACTGCCATTTACTTCAATTCTCTGTTTACATGGGAAAAGCAGGTCAAAAACTAGGAAGCCATTTGCGCTCAGGGTAGGCTGGAAGATTTATTAAATGCATTCAATAATAGACCTGCCACCCCTTTCACAGTTAATGGAATCTGCTGAACTTTTGCATATCGTAGGAATTGTCCATTTTGGAGGGGTGTGTAGGCTATTGCTTTTGATGATGAGCAGGTGAAATCAAATGCAGCTCTCCCAGGAATCAGCCTGCGTAACTGCTGTCCAAACTTTTTTTCTGTACATATTTTTATTTGATATTTGAGGACTGTAGACAAAATTGTGGTAGTCATAAAAAAGAAAATTTGGAAAAAAAATTAAACCAAGGAGTATTTTGGAGATCGGCTGAACTTTTTTCATCTTTGCACTTGACCCCAAAAATCTTATTCAAAACACTGCACTTTTCAATAGCAGACATATCTTGAGCAGGGATCATAGTTTTAGTTTGTACGTAGAAACACTTTTTACTTTCATACATTGCATGTATTTTTAATTTTTAGAAAAAAAATGAATGGTCACAGGCCTTTTTTTGCATTCCACTCTGCCTGTCATTTGTACTTTGTAGAATTTTGTAAAATCAAGGAAGTAGTATTTTATAGAAATTCTCATCTAGAATTATAGAAAGCTTGATTTAAAAGAAGTGATAACCATGTCTGTGTTTAGATTTTTAGATCTGTGTAAAGTCCCAGGGAAATGTTTTTTTTTGTGTGTAAGAGTACTACAAGTAAACTATAGCTTTGGTGATAACAAGTTGTGCAATGAGCAGTTAGTTTCGTGCCAATAAGTACCATCTTGTATTTATTTGTAGTCTGCAGATTCTTTCAAGGTCCACTGTATGAAAACAAATTTTGAATTCCATTTTTTACTTCTTATATCAACTTTTACAATCATGAGATTAAAAAAAAAAAAATCAGAGGCTTTGTCTTGGCAATAAATAAGCCGATCAATCAGGGATGTGAAACTTTTTTTTAAAACGTAAAATATTCTGTCAAAACCATCCAGCAAGGATGGGGCGTTTCTGTAGACAGTTAAATAAGGGTACAAGAAACTCTCAGAGTTCTTCTGTGAAGGACAGACAATCTATGCCATTTACTGTGGTATACATCTTGAGCCTTTTTTAAAACTACATTCTTGATTTATTCAACAAATGTGAATCAGTCGATGCAATACAACACTTTTATAAGAGACAAAGCAATACTGGAAGTGTATTTTGAATTGTCTTTGCATCATTATTATGTAGTACATTCCTTTTAGAATTTATCTGTATTCATACTAAGAACAATGCAATGAATCCCAACATCATGTTATATTTATTGAAGTAGTTTGCTGATTTGCATATTTAGATTATTTAGCCATAGCTATATTATCACTGTACAGCAGACTAACATCATTACCATGTATAAAAGTAATTTAATATAAACCTATACCAATAAACTTTTTTTTGAGAATAACTTCATGCTCAGCCAAACTACTGTAAAACATGTCTTTTTAGGTAGCAGGTTATTTTAGCTAATTTAGCTAATCTGTAATTTCGCTAATTCAAGATGTCGCTAATTTAAAATAAAGTATATTCTCACAATGAGATTATTGGCATTTTAGCTAAATTAAGATTCAGTTAACTCATGTGTTGAGTCAAATTCGCTAAAATGTAGCATGTTTTACAGTATTCTATCGTAAAGAATTGCAGGTATTTTCCATGGCAAAATCAAAGATTTTTGCTATTGTCCTTGTGACTTTTCTAGCTTGGCTGAACACGGCGCTATTTTCAAATTTGACTTGATGATCACAAAGTACTAAACTAATATGCAACCTTAGATTTCTAATACACTACTTTAATACACCAAGATTGTCGACTATGCACAGCATTAAGTACTCTATATAGATACCTCCCTGTAAATGTAATTTTAAATATGTAACTTGGTAGTGTCTGCAGACTACTCACTTTGCCTTTACCCCCCCATATTTTCTATACAGCATTGTTGCCTTACTCGCTGTTTATATATGTTATGAGAAAGTGTTGTCAACAATAAAGACGTCTCTGAGTAAGAAAGGTTTTAAAATGCTTGTTGCGACTCGGTAATTTTGTGGATGCACATGTATGGAAATGTTCATTTCGTGAATGTGATACGTTGCGACTCAGTAGTTTTGTGGATGCACATGTATGGAAATGTTCATTACGTGAATGTGATATGTTGCGACTTGGTCGTTCTGTGGATGCATTGTATAGAAGTGTTCATTGCATGAACATGATGAACATGGCTAGGGGGCTATGTGCACAGCAATTGAAGTCTTAGTTTAACATTTAAACTCCCCCCCTCCAAACAAAAGTGTAAACAGTGGAAAATAAAATTGAACAAACATTAAGTCCCTTCAAATAAAGATGGGATGCCCAACTTGTTTCCATGGAAACTGATTTCGCCCCATGTGTTAAACCTCTCTTGCAGCCATTTTGATTTGAAATTTATAATGTACCATAATACTAGTGGAATTCATAATGTAAAATTGAGAATTTAAAACTGATTGCAGTACAGCATAAAATTGAGAATATGAAACTGATTGCAGTACTACAATCACTATCATTTGATGTCACTGAATTTTAATTATCAGCTTGCAAAGTTTAGCAGATAAGTCGATGATTGCCATACATGGTGCCTACTTGGATAACAGTATCCACTTATAAATGGTGCAGTTTAAAGTACCGGGAGTTATTATTCAGTGATGAGCGCCCTCTAAAGGCAATACCGGGTTTGTGATTTTATTCAGGGAAGAGCGCCTTCTAGAGGCAGTTTTGTAGAAAACTAAGGTGAAAGTGTAGTTTACATAACTAAAACGTAGGGCATATTCAATGCCTTTGTCACAATGCATATTTGCTCTATTAGTACACACAAATTGTAGAAGTGTGTCTGTGGTGATATTTTTGACTTTTCGGAACTATTAGTACCAGATGTGTGTCTGCTCCCGGGGTCTGCCCATCATGGAGGTTGTGGGCACAGTCAGCTGGCATCGGTGTCGCTGGATGTATATGATAGAGGGAAGTTGTGCAACCAAATTTGCCGAGTTCGCAGTTTTTCGCCGATAAAAAAATAACTAGGGCAAAAACTCGCGATTTTTCAGTATTTTTGTAATAAAGACATTATTTTCTATGGATAATCCTCCCAAAACAGGAATATTTCTACTAATTCTTGTGTTTTTTTGACGTTTTTCGAAAAACCTGCGATTAGGTTGCGAAAGTAGAAAGTATACAATACTACATGTGTATATTATTAAATACATCCTCATTTTTACATTTAGCCCGTTCAAAATATGTTGTTTTGTTTACTAAACAACCCAGAGTAAATGACTTGATTCCGTTAAACAACAAATTGGACAGGGAACGATAATAAAAATAATTTTGTCAAATTACATACCCCCACAAATATCTTATGTTGATCCTGTATAGTTAAATGTCAGTGGTTGTCGTGCAGTGTCCTGTTTGATATGGACTTATAACAACGTACATAACCTTCGTTGTTTGTTTACAAGAGATTCGAATACGTGCTGCGCGACGACTATCGCCCTATAATGTTCACCATAATCATGAGTTTGTTTACGAAAAATCTCCGACTAAACAAGTAGATGATATTTTGCACAGCAGATTGTAGCGCCCATATTATTAATATAGTTTTTCAAACAAAACAGCGATGCATTATATACCCACATAACTCCATAGAGTTAGTGGCCGTTACAATATTGCATTTGCTCACTAAACAGCTTAAAGTAAAGAAGACGCAGCAACTTTAACCGACAGCAAATCAAATAAATCAGACGAACTCATCACAATCTTGTACTGAGCAACTCAAAGTGAAACATGCCGTTAAATAACAAATTGGCAGACAGAAATACTGAAAACCAAGTTTTTCAAATCAACCTAAATACGTAATTACGTATACACATGCATTTGTTCCATGATCTAATTCAAATGACGTCAATTTTGAAGCCAACATGTCGTCAAATCCAGAATTTCCATCTTTCTTCTTCTTTTTGTCATACATAGATAAATTTCGTTCAAACTGGTACATATATTGATAATAGTATATTTATTTTCATTTCGGATTTACAGTTGCTACCTGATTTTGTTTTAATGATTGTTGTTTTAGAGACACATCTGTGACACTTTCCGACTTTCAGCCTAACTCAACTCAACTCAACTTTCCTTTATTGACTTTTCACCCAACTGTTTTTTAATCTTTTTGACTTTTTAGGCAACTTTTACAACTTTCCACCCAACTGTTTTTTGTCTCTCCGGGCCTGTTACAATTATTGAATTTCCACCTGTTTCGTCTTACCACCATTCTTCATCGATTTGTATACAACTTTTTACCTACAGGTAGATATTTTAACTTTTCATCCATCTTTTTCAACTTAAATCTTTTCGCCCAACTTTAACACTTTCTATCAACTTTTGTAACTTCCCAGTTACCTGTTACTACTTAGCAGGCGGCTCTAAAGTTGTGTCGACATTTCGGGCGAATTTTACAACATTTCAATAGCCCGGGAACACATATTTCCGACTTTTCAGGCAAAAGAAATAAG